TTTTTGGAGAGGTGCATTGCCCAAATTTTTTTTGGACCTCTAAAATGAAAATTTATGGAAAGCACCTTTATTTAAGGGGGTGCCGTAAAAAAAAAGAAGAAGAAACTTTTCAGAAGAGGAAGAAAAACAAACTGTAGGAAAAAGATAGATAAAAGTTTAGCTCTCTTTTGTCGTCTGACTCTTTGGTTTTAGATAGACGGAGGAAAGAGACAGCGTTCTGTCACTCAACTGGCTTCTAGAATACACAAATCCTGTTCAATTTCCCTCTGGTATATCTCCCTTTGTCCGATTTTCCAGCCCCACTACCACCCTCTTATATCATCAAAAGTCCCCCAAGTGGCCCCTCTGCTGACAGACCCCCCTCCAAGTCCACGTCCCACATTTCTGCCACAGTAGCCCATCTAAGTCCCTGCCTTACCCCGCAGTAGTGGCCTACATTTCACCAGGACACATGAAGCTTTAGTCACAAACCTGCTCCCCGCTCTCCTCCATCACAGGCAAGCCCCAAACTGGGCAATGTATGCCTCGGTTTCTATTTTCTGACTTACATATTGTGCATAACCCAGTGATTCAGCACAGGGCTGCTCACTGAAAGATGGGTGAATCTCGGGTAAAATATGTTCAGTGAAACTAATTCCAACACAGAGGACGAATATTCCATATTCCCACTTATAGGAAGTATCTAAAACACACAAATGTATAGAGACAGACATATTTGTGGAGAAAGTAGATCTGAGGTTTCCAGAGGCTGACCAGGTGGGTGTGAGAGAGGAGGGAGAATGGGGAGTTCTTGCTTAATGATGGCCTTTCTGTGTGTACTAGGGAGCTTTGGGGACCAGCAAGTTGTTATGGTTGTACCGTCTTGTGAGTGCAGTTAATGCCACGGAATTGTCTCTAGAACAGGGCTTGGGACTGGTTCTTTTCCATTCAGACATGGCTGAAACTAGAACAGACCCAACTATGTAAATGGTGGATGAACCACAACATGAACTGGGATGGGAAAATGCATGGCTGAAGTCCTGCTAGAAATTGCAACAGTAGGCTCCAACAGCAGTCATGAGATGGCACAGGTGGGCACACGGTTTCATGCCATTGTATCGTAGGGTTGCCGTGCGCCTGTGTGAACTCAAGGGCACATAATAACAACATCTGCTAGACACTTCATCTTTCTCTCTAAAACCAAGAGCCATGCATGCACTGCTTAGCAACCAACTCTCTACACCGACCCAGCCAGATACACTGATGCCCTACTCAAAGACGGCGGCTAACCATGCCATGTTTAATGTGTGTCGCCCCCCACAATCCTGGCCACATTCCAGTATCTTGCATCACGCTCCTGACAGGGCACACCATGCCTCTACTGAGTCTCCTTTGCCAGCGCTTTGACCTGTCATTTTTCTCATTTCAGTCATCAATACACCCACATTTTACAAAGGCAAGTCTGTTCCTGCTTCGCTTCATTAACCATGACTGAACCAGGAAGAATCAGTTCAAAGCCTCGATCTAAAAATGATTAAGATGGTATGTTGTATGCAATGTGTTTTATACCACAATTGAAAAAAATCCTAAGTGGTTAAGACCCCACATTATTTTCCTTTCTCTTAGGAAAATGGCAGAGGTCCCCAGAGGCCTCGGTGTCATTACACTTACATGGAGAGGTGTCTGACCTGCTTATCCTCAAAACACAGTCATAACTGGACCCTGTAGATTGGGTTACATTAAACTTACCCCTTCCTAGCTCTTAGACGTTGAGTGTTACGGCAGAAGAGACAGGTAACAAATTATGAATAGTGTGCCTCTTTTACTTTTAAAAAGGAATAGCAAGTTTCCCCAAAATGTTATTCTTCTTTTCTAGACCTTGCTATCCCTGCTCTGGGTTTCCAAACAGTAAAAATCCCACGGAGGGCTTCTATTTAGGGTTTCATTCTGGTTTGAACCTGGCTAGATATATTCCTCTTGGCCAACAACCAAAACCAAACCGAACCCATTGTCATGAGGGTGTTCCAACGCACAGCGACCCTTTTCAGACCGAGGAGAACCGCTCCAGAGGGTTAATGAGACTACCCCTCTTTATGAATGCAGCCAGCCAGTCTAGTCGTTCTGCGCTGGGGTGACTGGTAGGTTTGAACAGACTACCTTGAGGCTAGGAAGCCAATACTGGAGGCTCCGACTCCTCTTTCCCCCATAGGCTCAGCAGGATGCCTACGTCTCCTCGCCTTGATTTCACATCAGGGTTGTGCCCAGACTTGCATCCCAGGGTTTAATGCAGTCTGATGCAAAACGTTCACTTGCTTGGCTTCTGATACAGAGGCTGGGGATTTGAGTCCACCCAGAGGAACTCAGAAGAAAGGCCTGACAATCAACACCTCCCGTCTCCGCCCCCACCCCCCCGCCCCCAAAATCAGCTATTGAAACCCCCTGTGGGGTATACTTATACTCTGAAATGTATGAATTAGAGCTGACTCCCCAGCAACTGGTTGGATACCCACCCCCGTATACCTTTGATCCATAAGCAAATCTGAATTAGTGCCCTTGAAACATGGTTGCAATTTATTTTCACAAAGACACCGTGCATGGAAATTGGGCTCTCCCCAAAACCAGATGATCTAGCCCAATTTGATGTCAAGCAAAAATGCCGGGAATACTTTGAATAACTCATTGTTCAGCTCAACAGTCAGCATGTGTGAAGCTGGGAGTGGACAAATGATAAGTCTATGTCAATGAAGCGGCACTGTTCAAACTACCAGCTTTGCTACAACGTGAATCCTACTGCGAGGGGGGGGGGGGGGGGCCGTGGTTCTTGAATATACAGCCCAGTGCCCCTAGGGGAGAGAGAGCAGAACTGCTCCTTTGGATTTCCAAGGCTGTGTGAGTCGTTATGGGAGAAGATCGCCCTATCTTTCTCCCAAGGAATGGCTGATAGGGTTGAACTGCTGACCTTGGGGTTCGCAGCCCAACGTATATACGTGTGTGCATCTATGTGTATAGATAATGTTCATCCAGTCAGCCCAAAGTTATCAAGCTATTAGTAGAGGCCAGGCTCTGTGAAAGGGAGATACTGAGATGCACATTACACAGAAAGTAAAGCCAAAGGTGGGCTAAGCGAGAAAGTTTGAAGAAGAAACAGGAGGAGACAAAAGAGGGCCAGAGCGATTCACCTCAAGGAGCTGGTCAAATCTTACAGAGAAGGTGAAGCCTGGGATGGGTCATGAAAAGAAGTAGGTGTAAGCCAGCGGTGGGGCTCCAATTAGGGCAGGACAGACAGCCTCAGACCCTCCATTGTACTGAGCTTGGGAGTTTACAAAGCACTTTCCCTTGTATTGTTCGCTTTAATCCTCCAAACAGGGTAAGGATTAGCATAAGGGATGCCTGGCCTGTAAAGACCCTTCATTTCAAATGATGAAACTCGGGGCCAGAGAAGGTAAATAATTTTTCAGAAGTCCAACAGTTAATGAATGGCAGCCAGCCCTGAAACACAACGCCAGTGTAAGTTAAGGTTTAATAGCAGTGGTGTGCCGGAGCCAACTCGTACTGGCTCGGGAGAGCCAACTGTTCAATTTTCAGGAATTTTGAAAGCTTATTTATTGTCAAACTCTTGGTAGCTTGAAAGCAGTTATGGTGGGAGTATTTACACCACAGCTATCAGCAAATGCTACAAATCAGGTCTTTGGGGGTTTTTTCTTTCCTGATTTTTTTTTTTGACGGGAGGAGCCACATGAGCGGGACAGTGGTTTACAGCATACCACTGCTTCTGGGCAATATGATTTCGTGAGAAAGCTCCTCTGTCCATAGAAAACTACAGTCCTACCCAGGGCTGGGCTCAAAGCTGGTCTCAGACTCGCTCTATATGATTCAGAAGTCAATTCTTAGGAAGGAATCACCTGATTCAGTGATTTGGCCATTCTTAGAAATAATGGCGCTGCCAAAAGTATGTTAGGGCCTGTCAATTATTATTTTTGAAGTGGCTTACTTGATATGTCCCTGATGTCTGTGGGGAAAGTAAAAGATTTAAGATGTAGCCCCAAGCCCAGCAGGGAGCATGTCCACGTCTTCACAGATGTGAGTATCGACCAGCTGGCCTGTTCATATCTAGGTCATTCTTGTCCCTTTTATAAATTCCCGGCTGTATTTGCTCTCCTGCCAGCAGCATTTATGGGAACTCACAAAAAATAACTGGTAGCAGTTCTGGGATGATTTGTAATTTTAAAACAATCATACTTATCGAAAACAAGATGGGATTGTATCCAGTCTGATGGGATTGTGTCCAGTCCAACCCGTGTTCTGGGTTAGAAATCCTCCAAGCCTGCATAGCTGTAAAACTGTTTATTTCAGTCAGATCTTCTGAGAGCCCTCTAGATTTGAAGGGATACCTCTACCCTCTCTACTTTCCTAAAAGGACTATCTACCTCCATTGACCTAGTTTATAAAATGGTTAACAAGATTTTAAGTAAACAGTGCCCCTGAAATGCAGATAAGTCAAATGAGGCCAGCCTCCCAATCAAAGTGTCTTGCAGGGACCGCGCAGCCCCTGGCGGATCTGCACAAGGTGGCGCATTGTGCATTCACGTCTTCAATTTAAACAACCCCACCTCATACCAGCTTGCGTCCATCTCTTGAAAACGCCACAAGTGGCATACTTGAAATATCAGACATTTTTCTTTAAAACATCTGGGGTTCTCTTCAAGTGCTGGGGACTGAGCTTTATACGCTGGGGTGCCTGTGTGGGCAAGAGCTATTTACAGAGTGAATTTGCTTTGCACAACAAAAACAGAACCGTAATGTCTCTGCCTCTCAGTATATGATCCTTCCAGGTGGATGTTGCAAGCATGTCTTTGGGTTTCTGGGAACTCAGTTTCTCTCACACCACGAGGTCTAAGGTGCAGATTAGTTTAGGTTTTTTTAAGCTTCTCAGAAATATCAGCTATTTGGTCTCTTTTGTCACTGTTGGCTGGTGGACAGCACGGTGTCACCCAAGTTACCAGGACTCTGTTTGTTTGCAGAATTTGCTCGGAACACACAACCTGGGCCGAGTTTACTATGAGCCCATTAAGGACCGTCATGGAAACATCCTCCTCGTCACCATCCGAGAGGTAGAAATGCTCTACTCCTTTTTCAATGGCAAGTGGATGCAGATCTCCAAGCTGCAAAGCCAGAGGAAGTCTTTGTCAACCCCCGAGGAGCCCACCGCCTTGGACATTTTACTGATAACCATCCAGGTACATGCTCCTTCAATTCCCTGGGATGTTTGACGTTCTAAGCTCTAGTGAACTTTGAGGATACCTTTGGCCTGGAGAAGGTCCAGCCACACGCGTCTGCTGCTATTCTGCACACACGCATGAGTCTCCTGATCATGCCCATTCACTCTCGAGATCTGGAATGCATAAAGCGATGCAAATTGTGGGTCCCCTGAAAATGCCCCGGAGAGACTCTGGGGGAAATGATGAAGAGAAGGTCTGCTGGTGGGATGCGCCAACATGAAGCCAACCCAGACTCGCCCCTTAATTCCCCTGTCCACCAACTTTCTGAAGCCCCTGCATATGTGCGTGTCCAAACATGTGCAGGCGCTTCTGCTGTGGGCGCAGTTCTGATTCACAGCCACCCTCTAAGGCAGAGCAAAGCTGCCCCCTAGGGTTCTCCAAACTGTCGATCTTTATGGAACCCGACTATTACATCTTTCTCCCGAAGAGTGGCTCGCGGGTTCCAAACTTTCGGTTATTGGCTGAGCATTTAAATGGATGGATCACCAAACTAAACCGACGAGCATCAAGTTCATTCCCACCCACAAAAACCCGATAGCAGCGGTTCTCAACTTGTGGGTCGCGACCCCTTTGGGAGTCAAAAGATCCTTTCACAGGGGTTGCCCGATTCATCACAGTAGCAAAATGACAGTGATGAAGTAGCAATGAAAATAATTTTATGGTTGCGGGGGGTCACCACAACATGAGGAAGTGTAGGAAAGGGCCGCGGCATGAGGAAGCTTGAGAACCCCTGCCCTATAGGATTTCTGACGCTGTAAATCTGTACAGGGCCACACCACCTCATCTTTCCCCCAAGGAGCAGCTGGTTGGTTTGAACCTACAGCCTTCCATTCAACAGTCTACCCAACCATGCCACTGGGGATCCTTGGTTTTTTATATGTCTGTTCTCTGGATGTATAATGTGGTGTGTGTGTGTGTGTATGTAAACACATCACTTTGACAAAAGCACCTTTACATGTATTTACATTTGCTTTACTGTCATCTCATAGGGCAGACAGGCATGAAATCCACTGTAGGAATGAACTAACGCACGCCCAGAGAGGTTGAGTGAGGGCAGAGACACCCGGAAGCAGATTTAATCATGTTAAATTATTAAGAGCTTCGGGGCTCTGCCCTGGCCTAAGCTGCTTCCAAGGCCCTGGGTGGGATCCTGGCAATTTTCCATTCATAATGTTTTATCTTTCTTTAAAGAAGAAACCAAAGACCTCATTAGCCTCAGGTGCCACAAAACAGATCCGTCCCACAGAGCTGCGACTTGACTTCAGATAGTAGAAGCCCGAGCTTTTCTTGGCTACGCCATATCACATTCCAGGATAGGCGTGAGGGTCTCACGGAGTAGCTATGGATGATTCAAGGGATAAAAAGACTCACCTGAGCATAGATGGTCCCTCAAAATTCAAAATCCGGGCAGCTTAGAGGCAGACTCGTAACATATGTAGGTGGCAGAACCAGGACCCAAGCTCACACCTGCTCTGGAGTCCGTGTTCTCTGTATGCTGCCATCCTGTGAACATGAGCATCCACCTGTCCCTGTGCCTTCCTTTCTGTGTTGAAATCCATTGAGGGTGAGGAGTTGTACAAAATGTTCTAGTTAGAGGGGAGGAAGGAGGATTGGCAAAGGCATCTCTAGTGGCCCCTTTCAACCAATGGCCCAGATACATTCGACAGCCGATCTGGAGGGACAGCCCAGTCACACACAAGCAAGCCAGAGCCAGGCCTTGGCCCCAAGAGCCCTTCGTGGTCATCCCAAACCATTAAGCCATTAGTCATCTCGCTCACTTCCATTCCCTACAGAGGGAGGGCTGGTTCAAGCATCTCACCTTTCTATCACCTGCGCTGGTCCAAACAAGAACAATGTCCCTTGTAGGAAAGGTAAACTAATTGGTCAAGGCCAATACCGCTGGATTGGATTTATGGGATTTCTGATTCATCTGAGATTGATAGAGAGTATGTGTGTGCATGTGGAGTAGGTGGGGGCAGGGAGCGCAGACACATTCGCGCTCCCCTCTTCACCTTTTATAAGCAAGTGCTAAAAGAAACATTTAAAAATCATAATAAATTGAGCTTTTACAGGGTGACTAATACACTAATCCCCTATAGGGATAAACTGGGGTCTGGGTTACCTTCGCTCCTAGAAACACAGCACAGGCCCCAGCATGATATAATACCTGGTTTCTACGAGACTTATTGCATTAAAAATGTGTTACAGGTGCAGAAAAATTCCAATCTGGCAAAAAGCTGTTAGAGAAGGAGACCAAAAATAGAGGCAGGATCAGGTTTCCACACAGATCCAAGTGGAAAATTCACCCCCGCTGACTGGAACATTCCCGCTTGATGTCATTCCCCACCCCACCCCCACTCACCCTCCTCCTTCCCCACCTTCTTTCTCCCCTCGCCTTCCCTTGAACTTGTTCGTGTGCAAGTTCAAATTGAAGCTGAAGAAAATTAGAACACATACACAAAAGCTGAAATATGAACTTGAATAGATCCCACAGGACTATCTCAAGAATAGATTTGAGAGAAAGTAAAAAGAAAAGATGTGATGCAGCGAACACCAACAGGTGTGAGTCAGGCAAGATGCGACACATCAAAGGCATCCTAGATGAAGCAAGCAAAAGGTCATTAAAGACCCCCAAAAGGGAAAAGACCAAAGTGGATGTCAACAGAGACTCTGACGCTTGCTCTTAATCACAGAATAGCTTAAGCACGTGGAAGGAATGATGAAGTAACCGAGCTGAATGAAGGTTCTAAAAGGCAACCCAAGAAAACAAAACACTATCATGAAGTGTGAAAAGACCTGGAATTTGAAAGCCAAGAGGGAGGAACACACCTGACAGTGCTCCTGCTGGAAGAATTGAAGAAGAAGAAAAATTCAAGCCTTGAGTTGCTGTCCTGAAGGATTCTATGGACAAATGTTGAACAATGCAGAACGCCATCAAATGAAAATGGAATAAAAACACGGTCACTGTATTAAAAAGAATAGATCGCCATTCAACCACCTCTGGAAGTAGCATATAACCAAAAGCCAATGGTGTTGAAGGGCTTAATCCAGCCTGCACTGAGGACTTTGAGAGAGAATCAAAAAAGAAGAACCCAGAAATGGACAGAATATCAACTGAGATGTTTTAACAAACAGGTGAAATCCTGGAAGAGATGACTCATGTATGCCAAGAAATTTGGAAGACAACTACCTGGCCAATCAACTGAAAGAGAGACATGCTTTTGCTTATCCCAGAGAAAGGGGACCTAACAGGATGCAGCAATTATCTAACTAGATCACTAGTAGCACAGGTGAGTAAAACTTGGTTGAAGATCAATCAAGCATGAGTGCAGCAGTGTGTCCACAGAGAATGACCAGAAAGTCCGGCGTGAACTGGAAGAGGACATAGAACAAAGGATCTCATTGCGGAGGCCAGGTAGATCCGGACTGAATGAGGAGAACACTGGGAAGAAGTTGACCTGTATTTTATTGGCCACACAGAGACAATTGACAAACTGTGGGTAAAATTTCAGAGTAGGAATTCAAGAATACGTACGTGTGCTCTTGTAGGACCTGTGCAGAGACAGAGAGGTAGCCATTCAAACGGAACAAGTGAAAAGTGCATGGTGTAAAATCTGGTCAGCTGCATGGAGATTGTGTTCTTTCTCAACGCTTACTAAATTTGGATGCTGAGCAAGTAATCTGAGACAATGGACTGTAGGAAGAAAAAATGCAACAGCAAGATTAGAGGAAGGTGAAGTAACCCCCTGTGACAGGCAGGGAATACAACCTTGCTTGCTGAGTGAAAAGAAGAAGAAAACTTGAAGCACTTACTGATGAAGTTCAGTAAGAATTAATCCTCAATCTGAAAAAAATATCCTCAGAACTGGAACAATAGACAATATCATGATACAGAGAGAACAAAATTAAAGTGTCATAAGATTTCCTCTTACTGGATCCACAATTAACACCCATAGAAGCAGCCTTTCAAGATATCCAATCTGTTACAAAAGGCCTCTTTTAAAGTGTTAGGAAGTCAATATGTCATTTTGCGGACCAAGGTACACCAGACTCAAACTGTGGTATTTTCATTCACTTCCTACGTGTCCAAAATCCGGACCATGAATAAGAACACTAAAGAATTGGAGCCTTTTAATTCTGATGTTGTCAAAGAATAATGATTATCCCACCGACTGCCAGAAGAATGGACCAAACTGTCTTAGAAGTAGACAGCCAGAATGTTCCTTAGAAGGAAAGATACGGCGACGGTGTTCTGCGTCGGATAGACATGCTATGCAGAAGGGCCAGTCTCTGGAAAAGAGCTTCAGGCTTCATCCGTTAGAAAGTCCATGAAAATGAGGAAGACTCTGGACAGAATGGATTGACACAGACCTGCAACAAGGGGCCAAAGAATAACAAGGCTCATGCTATGAGGAGGTGCACGATCAGGAAGTCTGGGTTTGTTTGTTTGTTTGTTTGTTTGTTTTAAGTTCTCTCTTTTTAAAAAAATCATTGGGGGCTCATACAATTCTTATCATAATCCATATATACATCCATTCTATCAAGCACATTTGTACATTTATTGCCATCATCGTTCTCAAAACATTTGCTTTCTACTTGAGCCCTTGATATCAGTTCCTCATTTTCCCCTTCCCTCCCCCACGAACCCTTGATAGTTTATAAATTATTATTATTTTGTCATATCTTACACTGTCCGACGTCTCCCTTCACCCACTTTTCTGTTGTCCATTCCCCAGGGAGTAGGTTATATGTAGATCCTTGTCATCAGTTCCCCCTTTCTACCCCACCTTCCCTCCACCCTCCAGGTATCTCCACTCTCACCACTGGTCCTGAAGGGATCATCTGTCCTGGATTCCCTGTGTTTCCAGTTCCTATCTGTATCAGTGTGCATCCTCTGGTCTGGCCAGATTTTTAAGGTAGAATTGGGATCATGATAGTGGGGGGAGGAAGCATTTGAG